AAAATTCAAAGAACTTAGTGAAGAAGGCCTTGGTGTATTTAACACAATACGTTGAAATGAAGCAAAGCTTATTTATTGATATCTCCGATAAGTTACAAATATGTACATATACATGAATCAAAATAAACAAACAAGATGAAGCCTTCACAAAGGTTGCTCAGGAGAAGTCTCAGCAGTCGGCAGAGCCCCAGAAAGGTAAGGCACCAGATGGTGATTATTCGGAGCCTTAGTACTAGGCAGAACCCCAGAAGAAGGAGGCACCAAAGGTTAATCATTTGAAGCTTCATTACGCAGTACAGCCCCAGAAGATGAAGATAATAAATGCCTTTGGAACAAACCCACAAACCTCTGATGATCAAGTAAAATCTGACCATCAGATTCCTGTAGCTGGTTGAGCTTCCTCTTCATGTTTGTAACATAGTCATGTGCGAGCCTGTGCAACTGTTTATTCTCATGCTTGAGCCCTCTGATCTTCTGTTTGAGACTTATCACTTCAGCCACCAATGATTCAACTTGGCGAGTTCGAACAAATAGGCATTGGGCCATATTAAACACAAAACCTGCACACTGAACATTGAGAGCCAGAGAATCCTTAACAACTATCTCATCAGACCGTTTGGAAAGTAATCTGTTATCTTTGAGGGTGAGAAGGTTCCTTACCACCACTGCAGCGGTCATATCATTCTTCATCACAAAGTCCCCAATGGTAAGAGGACCAGTAGGGGATAAGAAGGATGGGCGCCATATGTTGTCTTGAGAAGGCATGACTACCTCTTCACCAAAGTTCAAGTCAAAACGACGTCGGATGGGGCCAGACATTCTCAGAAATGATGAAGGAGAAATGAAGTGCAATAAATCTCTGAAGTAAGGGGAAAATTCCTACTCTCTGAATGTACTTCTTGCACACAATTGGTGCCCTTAAAAAAGAAAGGGCAACAGGGCTGTTGGTTCAAAAATTGAAGAGGCACCACTCTCCGGATTCCGAAGAGGCACAACTTTCCACACGCAACATCAGCTCCTTAGGTACCACAGATAACTTTGCTACAGATATTTGACAAGGTTTAGACACATAAATTTTGAAGGTCCAGCTACCCTACTATTACTCACACGGGTAAAGGAACAACACCACTGCTTGATAACTAAAAAGCCCTAATGTGTGTCAACCTCCATGCTCTGTGGCAAGGCAGACTGGCAAAAATGTACAACCTTTATTCACATTCGAGAAAACACTCTCAACAGGATTGCTTTCTCAAAAATCGAAGAGGCACCGCTCTCTGAAGCTCGAGAGCCAAACTCCCAACAGGATTACGTGCTCAAAAATAGAAGAGGCACCGCCCTCCGAATCTCAAGAGTCAGACTCCCAACATGATTGCTTTCTCAAAATTCGAAGAGATACTGATATCCGAATCTTAAGAGTCAGATTCCTAATAGGATTGCTTTCTCAAAAATCGAAGAGGCACCGTTCTCTGAATCTCGATAGCCAAATCCCCGACAGGATTGCTTGTTCAAAAACTGAAGAGACACCGCTCTCCGAACTTCGAAAGCCAAATTTCCTTGGATAAAGCTTGTCTGCAATCTTCACACGCAACATCAGCTTTCCAGATACCACAGACCACTTTTTCAAAGTTCTATGACAAAGTTAAAACATGTGAAGCTTGCAGCTCCCACTACATTGCTATGACCAAGAAGGGTAAATGAATAACACTACTACTTGTTGTTAAGGAGACTCTTATATATGTCGACCTCCATCCTCCATAGCCAGGCAGACCTGCAAATAAAAAAAATGCTCAACTTTTCTTCACATCCGAAAGGGCACTCTCAGCAAAGTATCTCGAAATTCTCAGCTTATTTTCCTCCCAATAATACCTTTGCAAACAAGCCACACCAGAGCAAAAATATCTCATATCATCAGGGTTAAAAGTAAGAGTATCCCATATCGTGCTTTTTCCATGTCTTTTCCTTTGGCCTGGTTCTTATCTGCAAGACAATGAGAAAGAGAGCAATCAGTCAGCACTTGGAATCAAGCTTCTAGTCAGGAACTGACTGCCTGGAACCTCTTGCCTGATCACTTACCTGGCATTGCTCTCGAGTACTCATCTTCAGCATCTTATGCTTCCAAAGAAGATACCACATCTGCCTGAGGAACAGATAGGGCAAGTGAAAAGGATACAAGGAAGCATATAGAGACAGGCGTAACAGAACACGTACCGATACATCCACTACTTTGTCAACAGCAAAAGTATCCCATATCATCAGGGTCGAACGTACTCTAGATTTGATGGACTTGTTTTGACCATCAAATTCTTGAGTCGGCCTTATACTCTGGAGGAAACCAGAAAACCTTCCAGCCCAGTTCAAGAATAAGCCTGTGGAAAGTTACTTCTTCAAAAGCAAAAGTATCTCATATTATCTCTTCTCCATTTGCTTCTACTTATCCTTAGTGCTATTTACAACACAAGGAGAAGGAGAACAATCAACCGGAAGCTGAAGTGGAACCTCCGATCCAGGTTGCTTGCTTGGAAGTCTGATTACTTACCTTGTCTGTTACCTCTTTCGGCAAATCTCCTAACTCGGTGACTTGGGGGACTCCTACTATAGGGTTTGTATCGCACTTGACCAAGCCCGAAACTACAAGTAAGCTTCAAGTGAAATTGATACATTACCTTGTGCATCTTCATCGGTTAAAGATACCACCCCTGGATAGAGGAAAAGTACTTCCAAAAAAGATGCCACATCTACGTATGAGACAGATAAGGCAAGTGAAAATGATACCACACTTCGGTACTTAGAAGTTTCGTGATTACTCAATAACTTGGATCTTGCAAGTCCCCAACCGATGAGCTTCCCTCACTTAGGAACTTAGGGGAGCACTATTTGTACCATATTTGACCTATCCCAAAACTACTGAATACCGGTCAACGTTATATCGTCAAGGACCCAGAAGAGTTTTCCTTAAACCAGGAGGCCAATCACAAACATCATAAGCCAATCATAGCACGACACGTGTCAACATCAGAAACTAATCACAACACGACACGTGTCAATGTCAGAATGAAACTATAAACTCTCTTCTATAAATAGAGATCATTCTCTCACAATATTTCCTAATGTCATTTGTACTAAATCATTCACTAGTACTCACTAAAGGAGAGCTTGAACCTATGTACTTGTGTAAACCCTTCACAATTAATGAGAACTCCTCTACTCCGTGGACGTAGCCAATCTAGGTGAACCACGTACATCTTGTATTTGCTTCCCTGTCCCTATCCATTTACTTACTTATCCACACTAGTGACTGGAGCAATCTAGCGAAGGTCACAAACTTAACACTTTCTGTTGTACCAAAGTCCTCCCTGATTTTGTGCATCAACAAAAAATAAAGAGTATACATAGACTAAATGCTACATTAACTTATTTATGCAGCAAAAGATGATTTCAGACATCCCACATAATTACAAGTTGGCATCCATAGGGATTTCGAGTTTAATCATGCTCTTACAGTGTGTAATTAAACAAGCATACTTGAAATAGCAAAAGCCCTAATTCATCATGCTCAAAATCATCACACTATAATCATGCATATAAGAGAAAAATTAACAATGCATGATACAATGAATTAAGTTACCTGAATGCATCATTGGATCCATATTCGTCAACCCAATTGCAATTCCGCGGCTCCAAATAAATGAAACAAATTATCCATCAATGCTTGAGACCCAACCACGCGGATTTCCATCACTCCAAATTCCCATGGACCTCGTACCATTGCAGATTATCGAAGTGAATTGCCATTGTTACAGACGGGCCAATCCAAAATCATCACCAAAGTTATCAGCCAGAATCCCGTTGGCACCAATTCCCAGAAAAAGACAGTTCTCATTCAGATTTCAATAAAACAAAAGAAACAAGATGAACTTTGTTCAATGGTTCTCATTCATAATACAAGTTTATTCATTACACTGATAATACTATGAGGATTAATAAACCAAAATTATCTCAATCTACAATCATCATAACCAACTGCAGCGAAAGCAATACTAATGCAACTTAAATGTGACATTAGTTAGAAAAGAACGGTTTGGATTCAACAATATTCAATTGCAGGTGTTATTTCAATATCGCTGTCAAATTCCAATATTTCCGATCTACAACTAATTATTTAAGCGGAGTTTGAAGAACATACCTTTAACATAATGTTAATGGGGTTGTCGTGATCAAGAGATAGACGAAGCAAAAACTTCTTAATCGTCACAACTTTCAGTGAAAGCAAGAAAGAAAAAAAAAAGAAGAAACCCAGATAGAAGAAACCAAAAACCCAGAAAATAATGGTTCGAAAAATTTAAAATAAAAGGAAACTTTCTAACGACTCTTTCGCCCTATCCCTTTTTTCTTTTCTTTTTTAAACGGTGTTGTTTCTTAAGTTCTTTCTGGGTTCAAAGACTGGGAATTTATGTGAAATTTGATCTTGAACAAGATTTGTGATTTCAATGGTCAAAATTTAATTGGCTCTGATACCACATGTAAGATTAACAGGAATATATATATACCTAAATTACTAATCACAAGTTTGCCAATTGAATCACCATAAATCAAGAACAAACTAATTATTCACCATTAAATGTGTTTATGGAAAACTGATGTATTTGCAGAAACACTAACCTGCAGAACCCGATATGGAAGATGAAGCCATCGCAGCTTGTTGATCTAATAACCTTCTCCTCTTTAGCAAACACAAGTGTTTTCCAAACAATAGGTATTTGGTACAAAAGAAGCAGACATTGCAAGAGCAGTGATTATGATCATATATATATATATATGGTCGTTCTAATCATTCCCCTATTAGAATTCTTATAGAACTCGAACAAGTAATCCATATTACAAGTGACCCTTAAAAGATAAAGTACAGAGATAAGTCCCTCAACAACAAGGACTTGTACTTATAATCCTACAAGAAAAAAGGATTTCACTAAGCTTATCAACAGGAATATTCCATTCAAAAGATTTATACTACTCGGCTCTTTCAATTCATACTAATACTCTTACAGTAGGCTCAGATGCTAGCTACACCAAGCCATTTCCAACAGATTATGTGACCATATCTCCCGGCCAAACCATTGACCTCTGGTTAAATGCGGACCAAATTCCCAACAACTACTACATTGTTGCTAAAGCCTATAGTGCCGGGGCTGGGGTTCCCTACGACAACACAACCACCATGGCCATACTCCTATACCAAGGAAATTCTAATTCATCTCCTACTTCTTTGCCTAATATTCCTTCCCGTAACGACACCAACGCATCGGTTCACTTTACCAGTAAACTCAAAAGCTTGGCTGATAAAAACCACCTCATTGACGTGCCGCACAAGATAACAACTCATTTGTTCTTTACACTCTCCGTCAACTTACTACCCTGCCCGAATAATTCATGTGCTAGGCCACTTGGGAGACGTTTTGCCGCCAGTGTCAACAACATTAGCTTTGTCAACCCCACAATTGACATACTGCAAGCTTACTATTACCATGTCAATGGGGTATTTGGAACTCGCTTTCCAAATTACCCGTCCTTGCTGTTTAATTTTACACCTCAGAACTTGCCGTTGTACTTATTGTCGCCAAAGCGAGCGCCAGAGGTGAAAATACTGGAGTACAACTCAATGGTGGAGATTGTGCTTCAGGGGACAAATGTAGCGGCAGGAGATGACCATCTGATGCATCTCCATGGATATAGTTTCTCCGTTGTGGGATGGGGGTTTGGGAATTTTGACAAGGACAAGGACCCTTTGATGTATAATCTTGTCGATCCTCCTCTTCAGAACACCACTTGTAAATGGTTTGACTACCATTAGATTCAAGGCTGACAATCTTGGTACGTAATTAATGAAGACACTCATTATCTCTAGTAAATATATTATGTAAGGGCTGTTTGATAATAACCATATCATCTTTCAGTTTCCAGTTTTAGTTTACCGTCCCTAATTAGTTATATTAATGAATGATAATTAGAACATATGATAAATTGTTCTTGTTGTTGTCGTTGTATGTAGGTGTTTGATTTATGCACTATCATATTGATCGACATATTGTGGAGCAAAAAATAATCACAAGGAGACACGTGGATTGTTGGACAAAAAGGACCAAAATACCCCTGAAGTATACCGAGATCTCTACGCGTAAGCAATCGACAATCTTTTTTCAACAAAGTAAAAAACGCTCCAAAAAAGAGGTAAACAATTCAAAGTCTATCTAATCAAATCCCTTTTTGCAAGGTAACCTCCAAAATAATGTTATTTGGTTAATTAATGGATTAATTACCCAATTAATCCATTAAATATAAATTAAATCATCCAATTAACCACCAAAATATATCTCATTCAACCCTAAAAGTAGGCAATGGCCGGCCACCTCCCTTTCTTCCTAACCTTTTTCATTTTTCTCCATTTTATTACCCCATTTATACAAATAATCAATTTTGTAACCACCAATTTATTCTTTAGGGTTTAATTAGCCAATAAATTGACTAATTAAACCAAAATCATAACCACAAAATCCCTTCAAGGCCGGCCACACCTTGAGGGAAAAGAGACAAGCCTAATCCTATAAATAGGCTCATATTTTCACCAAAAATTCATTCCAATTCTCTTACAAAAAATCTCAAATTCTCTAAACACTATTTCTCTCTAAATTCTAACTTTGGCATCGGAGGTTCTTCGGCCAAAACCCCCCATTCATCGTGGGCGCGTGAGGCTCTTGGCCTTAACCTAAGGTGTTAATTGTTTTGTAGGTGCAAAATTGTCCAAGATCAAGGAGGAAGAAATTTGCATCCACACATATGTCATGGGGCATGGAGATGACGTTCATAGTGAAAAATGGAAAGGGCCTAGGAGCGCAAATGCTACCTCCGCCACAAGGAATGCCTCCATGCTAACAATTGTTATAAAAGCTTTCGAGCTGGTTATATGTTCATGGCAATAAATTGGGATGGTTTAGTATTGGTGTGCTTTTATAAAAAAAAATTAAAAAAAAACCTACTTCTATTGTTCTGTAAAATAAAGTAGTATAGTATTTGATAAATTGTATTTCCAAAGTGCTTTGAGTAAGAAAAGTTGTGTCAAGGTGTTTGATAAATTTTTAAATAAAAGTGGCTTGTTTGTGTGCAATGACTAAAAAGACCTCGAATGTAAGAAAAGTTGTACTAGGAACTCTTTGGATTGGTCGTGGTTAGGATATATAATTCAATCGATCCCACTTAATAAGATAAAGCTTTGTTGTTGATTTGTTTTTCTATATTATCACCGATTTGGGGGCAGTCGACTACTCAAGAACAAGTGGAAAATTTTCATCAAAATATGATGACCAATGCGCATTGTATTAGTACTAAAATTAAAATTTACTTGGCCTTATTTTCCAAGATTGGTTCAACTGTCAAATATATTTTGTTCATGAAAAAGAAACATTGGTGACAGCCAGCCACATTTCATATGCAATGGATTGTTTAAAACAACTCATAGGGATTTTCGAGTACTCAGTTTAATCTGTACTATAAAGTTTTAACTGATAGGTAATTGTTCAAAGATATTCTACTAGTCGGGGCTTCCCTTCCCCTACAATGGATTCATACACTCAATAATTGTTGACGAGAACTAGCTGGCTTAGGAAGAATGTGTGCTGCCACACAACCTCCTTAATTCTCTTGCCACTTCTTCCATCGCAGGCCTTTGGGCACTACTCAACTTGAGGCAACTCTTTGCAAGCTCCGCAACTGCTCTGAGTTGCTCTCTGTTTCCCTCGTTTACAAGTTGTGGCACAACGATCTGAAAGATGTCATTTTGTCCTACAGAAGAAACGAAATGGGATGTTATGATTCTTTGATTTTCTGGTCTGTGAAAGGACAATGGCATCTCCCCAGTTAGAAGCTCCAACAATACGATTCCAAAGCTATAAACATCGCTCTTATCTGTCAACTGGCCTGTATAGAGATATTCCGGATCAAGATAACCAAGTGTTTGCTGCACCAATGTCTTCATCTGGGATTCATTACCGGGGACCGGGACCAACCTTGAAGGACTAAAACCGGAGACTTTGGCCACAAAACAATCAGTTAAAAGTATGTTGGACGAGTTGACATTTCCATGAATGATCATTGGTTTCAACGAGTCTACTGCTGAATGCATATAGGCAAGAGCAGTTGCAGAGTCTGAGGCTATCTTTAAAAGGACATGCCAAGGCAATGCACTCTTGCCGTTAGCATGATGAATGTAGTCGAACAAGGTCCCATTGCAAGGGAATTCATACACTAACATGGGAGCTTCAGTCTCTAAGCAGCAGCCCAAGAACTTCACCACATTTTTATGGTTAATTTTGGTAAGAGTGACGATCTCGTAGATAAAGCGCTCGATTTGGCCCTTGTGCACTACTGTTTTCCTCATGTCTACAATCGCACCGTCTGACAAAAGTCCTTTCCAATCTAATGCACTTTCTCCTGGACAAAAATTATGACTCTGGTTATAATAGGCAGCGGCCGTCTCTAGCTCCTCGGCTGTAAAAACTTTTGTGCTTCCATGTGAAGCAATATGCTGCTCTAACAATAACCCTCCATTTTGCTGGAAGAACTTGGCTTTGAGATTAATGAACTTCCGTTTCTTCACACTGGAATAAACCCCAGTGATCCCAAACGACATAAATAAGCAAAAAAAGCCAAGACCTGCAAGTTTAGCTTTAATTATATACTAACACATGCATCACAACTTCCAGCAAATTAAACAAATAGAGCAGGGGAATTAATTTACGGAAGTACCTAGAGTGAGCTTTACCGAAATGACTTTTTTGTGTTTGATGTAGCGTCTACCAGTTTTCCTATGGTCATGATTATATGCCTGGTTTGCTTTTGAAAAGTGATCATAATATTTTGATCGATTCACTCTAATCGTTGTGTCTCCAGCTAAACCAACGAAGTTCTGTGACGTATACATATAGACTCGTTATAAAAATAAAATAAAAAATTGATGTTAATTTTTTCAATTGTTATACAAAGAAGGTCAAGAAATTTTACCCCAAGATATACTTGAAAGATCAGATCATTATAGTAAGCGTCGCCGCTGCAGATGCCATCAGGATTTGCAAAGGAAATGGCGCCATCGAGATTACTTGTTCGTGAGAATGGTCCTGGATTTGTTGGCCTGTAGGAAGTGTTACAGTTTATTATGTCAGGCCAGTGTACGCCCGCAGTTCGGAAGCTGGTGTTAGAGTTGGCTTCTGATAGCGGTAGCGGTGCCAACAAAAACAATGATATTAAGCTAAACCAAAAGAGTTTGCGCAGGAGATGATGTCCAAGTTTCAGAATCATCCTTTCCATCTCCATTTTTATCTTCCCCTTTATGTTTCCTAACATATTGTTTCTCTCAAGTCTCCGCTAGCTTCTAACTGAAATAGTGGTTTATACAAAATTTTGAGGGATCAATCTCCTTGTCTCCATCCATGTGTGTTGACAAATGCACTTGCGCTCCTCCTTCCTCGTTTCTTCTATTCACGCGGCATTGAATATCTTGCTTTTTTCATTCGGAGGTCACGGTTTCGTGGTCTCCTCCATGGTGCAAACCGAAGTTTAATGATTCGAACTGTCTATTTTGTATGTCTCGATTAATAGATATTTCTTTCAAAAATTCAATTCAACCCGAAACTATTTGTCTATTTAATTAAAACGATGAAATTTCGTTGTTTCTAATAAAACAACGTATTCGTTAATTTTTTTGAATCCAATTAGATGTCTTACTTCCGATTTAGCTAATATTTTGTAAAGATAATCTATGAGGTGCAACTTGAAAAATAGACGGAAATTTTAAAATATCATATGAACTTATACGCCAATCACAATTTGTCTTATAAACTAAAATTTAAGCGATCGTCATATCAATATTCCAAAATTATTATTTTGGCATCTCACTTTAACTCCGTTAAGTTTCCAAATAAATTGTGTTTGTACCATACTTAGGGCCTCCGTATTTAAATCTCGTATAAATACTCGGGGGACTTAAATGTAATTATGTAATAAATGAAGGGGTAAATATGCAATAAGTGAGGAGCCCTTATTCTATAAAATGACTCCTCACTCTCCTCATTAGGAGAGGCCAATTCTTAGGCCTGAGATCCCTAAAGCCTCCCATATTCAGAGAAAAGCCTCACTCTCATTACAGAGGCTCTCTCCCTCACAATCATCTCAGAGAAATACAATATCAGTGTGGACGTAGTCCAAACATTGGGGTGAACCACGATACATCTTGTGTTCTTTACATTTCTTGTAGATTCACGGTCGAATCTATGTTGTTCCAAGACCTCCGGTTTTGTGCATCAACATTTGGCGCCGTATGTGGGAAACGATACGAAAAGTTGTGTCGATTCTCTTTCATTTTTTCACCTCCACCGTGAATCTGCAAAAAATTACGTCGGTTCTCTTTTACTTTTCTTCCTTTCTCATATGCTTTACTTGGTGATTGGGCCTTTAAGCCTTAAGGCATCTGCAAAATCAGAACAAGGAGTAGAGAAAGTAACAGCGAAGCAAGCAAAAGCAGAGGAATTGGAGGCGAAGATGGCATTGCAGTGGATGATATTGACGTAAGTGGTGGCGGCAGAGGCGGCGTTGGCTTTCCTCCTAACTATTCCGGTGCTCAAGCTGTTGAAGAATCGATTCGTGTCGCTGGTCTTCTAATCCTCCAACCTGCCCTCCTCATCGTCCCCTTCGTCGGATTTCAGCTCCTGGATATATACTGGAAAAATGAGCACCGGTTGGCCTGCACCTCTGATATCTGCACCACTTCTGAGCATGACCGCTATGAGAAATCGATGACAAAAGAGTTGATCAGCCTAGTCTAGTGATTGGCCTTGGTGCTAACTCTTACGGCTTCTATTGTCCTTGGAGTCGAAGCCCAAAACCCACGGCCCCGATATCCCTCAAACTATCCTTTCTCGGTCTCCTCCTCTATCCTGTCCCGAAATCTCACTCACACGGCCGTCACTCCCCTTGACCTCGTCAAGTGCAATATGCATATTGATCCCACAAAATACAAAAGCATCGCATCTGGTTTTGGAGTTTTGCTAAAAGAGTAAGGGGTTAAGGGCTTTTTCAGGGAATGGGTGCCTACCCTCCTTGGTTACAATGCTCAGAGTGCTTGCAAGTTTGGATTCTATGAATTTTTCAAGAAGTACTACTCTGACCTTGCTGGACCAGAGTTTGCTGCCAAGTACAAGACCTTGATCTACCTTGCTGGTTCTGCATCTGCTGAGGTCATTGCCGATGTTGCTCTTTGACCCTTTAAGGCAGTCAAGGTCTGTGTGCAAACTCAACCTGGATTTGCTAGAGGTTTGTCAGATGGATTTCCTAATTTTGTCAGATCAGAAGGTGCTCTTGGGTAAGTTGTACTGCATCATTGGAGATAACCCATATTGGAGGAGCGAGCCCTGAGATGACCACTCCTTGTGAACTGGAACAAGAAGACCAGACCGACAGTAGAGAGGAAGAAGATAAGCTTTCTCAATAACAAACTTATTATTATTCCTCTTGTCTGCCATCCGCCAAAAGAAAGAAAAGAAAAGAGAAAGGAATATTACCCTTAATCATGTCATCAAGCGACATATCCCAAGCAGAAAGAAAAGCAGAAAGTAAAAGCAGAAAGCAAAAGAAAATAAAAAGAAGCAGGCATAATTGCGGTGGTGATGGCATTATGGGCGTGACCCATTGAGCAGAGGGTCGGATTTATTTTTGAATGATGTAATTTATTTTTCTTATCTTTCGGAGACATTTGTATACCCCATCAGAGGTTAATAAAAAATAAATAAAAAATAAAAAAACGGCAAGCCCAAAATAATGAGCTGGAATACTATGTGGAGGGACAAGGTCCATATGCCCAAAAGAGCCAGGCCCTCTATTATCATCAACTAGGTGATCAAAAGTACGTCCAGTACTACCAAAATTATTCGGCAGCTTGCCGCTATTATCACCAACCAGTTGATTAAAAGTACGCCCAGTACTCCAAAATTATTTGGCAATTTGCCACTATTATCACCAACCAGGTGATTAAGGTATGCCCAGTACTCTAAAATTTTTCGGCATCCTGTCGCTATTATCACCAACCAGGTGATCAAAAGTACGCCCAGTACTCCAAAATTATTCGGCAGCATGTCGCTATTATCACCAACCAGGTGATCAAAAGTACGTCCAGTACTCCAAAATTATACATGAGCATCACTCATGTCAATCATACATAAACATTCATGAGCATCACTTATGCCAATCATACATAAACATTCTTGACCATCACTCATGCCAACATCCATGAGTATCATTCATGTCAATCAACATAAACATTAATGAGCATCACTCATGTCAATCAACTTCGAAAGCTTCATTTACAGAGCTCCAGCTTCAAGAGCTCCAACTTCAAAAGCTTCATTTACAAAGTTCCAGCTTCAAAAGCTTCACTTGCAAAGCTTCACCTACAAAGCTTCAGTGCAGGGTATACAAATACCACATCCGAACAACCGCCACTTCGACCTATACCGAAGACTTAGGGGACTACATTATGTACCATATATTAGGCCTCAACTGGGCCTCATGAAAAAGACTTGGGGGACTACATTATGTACCATATATTGGGTCTCAACTGGGCCTCATGAAAAATACTTGGGGGACTTAGCCCATTATTTATGTACTGAGGAACGAGCCCTTATTCTATAAAATGGACTCCCTCACTTTCATTAGAGAGCACCCATTATTCATGTACTGAGAAGCGAGTCTTTATTTTATAAAAGGGACTCCCTCACCTTCATTAGAGAGCATCGCCGCCAGCTGAGCAACCGCCTCGCCGTGAACATCATTCCTAACCCATCACTTATGTATTGAGGAGCGAGCCTTTATTCTATAAAATGGACTCTCTCACCATCATTAGAAAGCATCGCCGCCTACTGAGCAACCGCCTCGCCGCGAGCATCACTCCTAACCCATTACTTATATATTGAGGAGAAAGCCCTTATTCTATAAAAATGACTCATTTACCACCATTAGAGAGCATCGTCGCCTACTGAGCAACCACCTCGCCGCAAGCATCACTCATAACTCATCACTTATGTATTGAGGAGCGAGTCCTTATTCTATAAAAGGGACTCCCTCACCTTCAACGCCACAAGCCGAGCCAACCAAGGCAACATAAGCCACAAACCGAGCAACTTTGCAACATGTGCTACTTCTAATTGAGCATCATTTCAGATTGAGCACCGCCTCATATCAAGTATCAGTCTTAGATGACATCTAATTAATTCGGCCCACATGTAGACTAAATTTCAAGTCTCCAGCCAAAAGACTATCTTGACTGAAGACTTTGGGGACTACTGTTTATACCATACTTAGGCATCCGTATTTAGATCTTGTATAAATACTCGGGGGACTTAAATGTAATTATGTAATAAATAAAGGGGCAAATATGTAATAAGTGAGAAGGCCTTATTATATAAAAGGACTCCTCACTCTCCTCATTAGAAGAGGCCAATTCTTAGGCCTGAAATCCCTAGAGCCTCACTCTCACATTACAAGGCTCTCTCTTTCCCTCACAATCCTCTCACAAACAGAGAAATACAATATCAGTGTGGACGTAGCCCAAACATTAGGGTGAACCACGATACATCTTATGTTCTTTACATTTCTTGTAGATTCACGGTCGGATTTACGTTGTTCCAAGACCTCCGGTTTTGTGCATCAACAATTGAGTTCAAAGTTACTTTGGACTTTTAACCTCCTTTTCACAAAAGTTATTTTTTATTTTTTCTATACAAAAATACATTTACACTAAAGGATGAGGGAATTGATTTGTTTCGGACCTATGAATTTTTGTTAGTAAAAAAAAACATGTTGTGTTGGTTTCAAAAGCTTATGATGAACCACTAAAATAATATATTAGGCTCACTAACGTTGTCACATCCCGGCCCGGGTCCACCACATCCCGGACCTGTTCCACCACCGTAGCACGATATTGTCTGCTTTAGGCCCCGACTATGCCCTCACGGTTTTATTTCTAGGAACTCACACGAGAACTTCCCAATGGGTCACCCATCATGGGATTGCTCTTGCGCGCTACTCGCTTAACTTCGAAGTTCCAATGAAACCCGAAGCCAATGAGCTCCCAAAAGGCCTCGTGCTAGGTAGATATGGGAATATACATTTAAGGATCACTTCCCTAGACGATGTGGGGTGTTACAATCCACACACCTTAGGGGCCCGACGTCCTAGTCGGCACACTTCCAGCCAGGGATTGGCTCTGATACCATTCTAACACATCCCGGCCGGGGTCCACCATATCCCGGACCTGTTCCACCACCGTAGCACGATATTGTCCGCTTTGGGCCCCGACTACGCCCTCACGGTTTTGTTTC